TTCTTAATTGTTGCTTATTCTTACCCTGAGCAGTGGAGCAGTTCAGCAGAGCCTCCTGCCCACGCCATACAATTTGTGGGTAGGATTCCTTTTCTATCCCCTGCTTAGAGCCATGCCCTGACACTGCTCCCATGGGGAAGCCAGCATTCTTTTGTATCCAACCATCTTACCTCTTCTTAAAGAACAACCATCCTCAATATAACTTTTCCCTGGGCAGTGGCTTGCCAAGCTTCTCAAGTGCTGCAGGAACTGCAGCTTTGAAAGCCGTGGCATCTCTGAGGGAGGGCTGCCTGTCCCTCGCCCTGCCACCGGGACCCACGGCTGAGAACACAGCACCCCACGTGTTCACTGCATCAGCTCTGAGGGCTCCTCTGACAGAGGGGCTCTTCTGACAGACAGGCCCCTCTGATTGTCCCCATCTTGCTGAGCAGCCCTGGGAGAGGGATTATCCTCCCAAAGAAGAATAGCAATCTCTGCATCTTTTCCCATCTGTCCCAGGCACCAGGAGTGATGCTCAGGAAGCTCCCACCTGTGCAAAAGGAACTGTGCAAGCGGCAAAGGAATCCCTGCAGCTGTGCTGCCAAAGCCAGGCAGGCACAGGGCCCTGCCACTGCTCTGGGGTAGCTGATGCCATCCAAGTGTCATTTCTGCTCCACTGGTGGTGAGAGCAGAGCCATGCAGGAGAGTGGGGCAGGAATTGGAGCGGGCAGAGGCACGGCACAGTGCTGGCCAGGCACTGTGCTCATGCAGATCCTATTCAGCTGGTTAAAAATGTTGTCCTCCTTATTTAATCTTTGGGAAAGATGCCTGACGGGTTTTATAAAGCTTCTGAGAGAAGTTTATGCTCTTGGGTTGCAGGAAATTAAATGCCTGTTGGTTGTCTCTGAGGGTAGTAAAGAAAGACTTCAGGAGCCTTATTAGACTTTATTTCCATTTCTCTCCATGTTGAAGGAATACTAAATAACTGCATCTGAGAGGATTTGGAGTATCTGTCATTTGCTTATCTGCAAGACAACACACAATATAGATTATTACATGTTCAAAATGGGAAAAAAGTCTTATTTATTTTCTCATTTTCTTTACTTTTCACTTTTTTCCCATACCTTTTATCTTACAATTGTAAACAGCTTGGGCAGCTGGACTATTGCTTCTCTCCAGTTTCACTGCCCCAAATCCAGTCCCTGAGACTCTCTTTAGAAATCCTGACAAGAGTTATCTCCCACAAATTTTTGCCTTAAGCCCACGTTTCTGCAGCTGTAAATCTCCAGGAAAAAAGGGGATTGTTTTTCATCTTCATTCTGGGCTCAAAAGAGTTTTTCTCCCATGAGTTTTCCACCTCTTTCTCTGAAGCCTCCCAGCCTAAGGAGGGCCAAGCACAAAGCAAAAGTAGGATGAGGCCTCCCTGTCATTGAACTTACCCTGAAATCAGCCCCTTAAACTCCTCCACCGAGTCCTTGCACCAAGAAGACTACAAGCCCTCTGACTCTAGCAATTGAACACAAAGAAAAAAATTGACTTCCAGTGAAGAAAGGCAGCTTTCCCTTGGACTGCTCCCTGACATTATACCCCTGATTGTACTGTGACTTCCTGGGGCTATGGAGAAGGTTGTAAAATGTAGATGTTAGCAGAAAGGTGGATGTAACTGAGGTTAGGGAATGAGGCAGAGGGGGCTGTTTCTCATTTTCCTGAAAACAGCACCTCCATCACAAAAAGCCTCTTGGCTTGCTGCAAGTGTTGGAATTGATGCTTTTTGAATTTTCTGTTTACATGGGATATTTCTCTTTTATGTTCTGTGTATTAAAATACATTCTAAATGATTGTTATGTTACAGGAAAATGGCATAGCTATTTTAGTAATTTTCTGTTTTATAGATTCATAAGCTTTGGGGCCAGAAGGGATTATTACGATATGTGGAGCTGCGGCCAAAGTCACTTGCCTGATGATTCCCTGCTTCAAGCCCAGCACTTCTGGCCAAGTGACAATCCATCTTCGCACAGAAAGAAGCTCTGTCAGAACCAGGGAGCCCCAAATGCTGGAAAATTTACATCCCCTGTAGGCACCCCAGACCTGTGTGGAGGTGCTTGGCAGTTCCCCCCCCCAGCTGTGCTGAAAGAGGCAGAGGAGCAGATCATGTTCCACTATGGCTGGGTCCAAGGTAACTTTCCTTAACACAGAGCTCTCTTCATAGCAAGAAAAAAAAATCTCTGCTTCAACTGTTTCCTTACTAATATCTGGAGCAATTGCAGAGAAAGGCTGGGCTGCAGCACCAATGCAGCTGGCTGCTGCCACCGGGAGCAGGATTGCACAGAACTCACCCTGTCCACCTCCTCCCTTCTCCCTAAGGGCCCTGGTGTCTGTGACATCCAGGGCAGCACAGCAGGATGTCACAGACTCTGCCAGAATCCCTGAGCCTTTCATTTATTTTCTTTTTCTGTGAGAGGAAATGCCTAGAGTTGGGACCTGGGGTCCTTTGCAGAAGCAGCAGCCACTCCAGCCCCCGTGGTGTGAGGACCAGTGAATTGCTCCAATGCAAGTTGTCAATCTGCTGTCTCCAGTCCTCTGTGGGGTTTTATAAGTGCAGCAGACAAAAAGACCCGATTCATTCCCTACGTTCTGGGCTGCAAGGGAGGTAGCAGGGCCAGGGCCAGGCCCCTTAGACCCGCTGCAAAGAGGCTGCTGGCTGTTGTGGCACCATGAGCTGTTTCACCTGCATGCACAGCACAGGACTAGGAATTAAGTGAGCTCTAATTTTATCATCAGGGTTCATTAGGTTAATTAAATACTCTGGACGCAGTGTGTTAATCAGCTTTGGAAAGTGGTTTCAGCAGGAGTCAAGGAGTTGCTCAGAAGCCGCTCAGCTAATGGCGCTAAATCCAATTTCATGCAACGGTACAGTGACGGGAGATGATTAATGGGTTTCATATCCCTCCATCTGTGGGGATCATCCCCAGCTCCCCCGGTGCTGGAGGGACTGGGTCATTGCTGTCTGGCAGCGTGGCAGAACCTGGCAGAGCCCCTTGCTCCATGAAACAATCTTGGGATCTGGGCAAGGGAGAGGAAAAGTTTTTCAGTGCTGGAGTCAGCATCCCAATGACAAGCAGGGCCAGCCCGTCTGCTCAGGTGACACCAGCCACAAATAATGGCAGTGTCTACCCCCCCCCCGGCCCCACCCTGTCCCTCCAAGGTTTCAGCTGGAAGAGATACTGATTCTGAGAGTAGAGAGCAATCCAGTGCTGCACTGAGGCAGGGCAATGGTTTCAGGGACCAGTAAAAAATTTGCCACGAAAATATATTGCTGGATCCAATGATCTAATGTCATTTGGAAAGGATTTCCATTTTCATGTGTCTGAGAGGAAGAATAGAGACACTAACTTCCAAAAAGCTCTCCTGGGCTATTCCCTCCTCTCTCCCCAGAACACAAAGAATGACTTTGAAATATGAAACAGCATTGACTGCAAATAAGTTGAAATAAAAGTACTTGTTTTGTGACCCAAAGGATTACTTTTTGGGAAAATTATCACCTGAACAAGTAGGAAGATGAGACTGATGGTGGCTTGAAGTCTGGGCTCCACGCAGAGCAGTCACACAGCTCTCCGTGTGGCAGGGAATGCCCTCAGGCTGCTGAGCACAGGCAAGAGATGGGAGGGTGATTAGAAATAACTGTATTTTCCCCCATCACATGAGAAGCAGGAGAGAAGAGTTGGACATCAGTGCACGCTCCAGCTAAGCATGTTGACTGAAGGGCCAGAAAGGTGCTAGTGAAGGACTGGACTGGGCTAGCGCTGAGAATAGCAAACCTCAAAACTTCATCACAGCAAATAAAGGGCATATTTACTGGGATTCAGGGGTTTAATGTGGGCACTAGGGAGAAAATTCATCCCCATCCTCTGACTTTTAACGGGGACTCTGACAATCTGATTATCTGATCAGGTAATTCTGATTTTGCCCTTTGATGAGATTATGATTTTGGCTGGTAAAGGTAACAGTACAGATCTGAAATAGGTTGGCTTTCCTGGCGTTTGAGTCCGGGTGGCCCAACAGTCTGATTTTAAAAGTTATTGAGAAAAGAGACGTCATGTGAATTAAAACATAGCTGACAAGCTCACTTTAAGATGCCAGCATGAGCCAGATACCCTCAGCTGATGGCATTGCTGGGGTCTGGGGGGTCAGGGCTGGGCATTTCTGCCGGGAGCATCACTGCTGGCAGTGTTTGTCACTCAGCCAGGATGAGCCGAGCACACACGATGGTGAGCACTGGGCTGAACTTTGCAGACTACACTGAACAGAAAGCACAAGGGTGGAGGCTTTTCATGTTGCTCCCCTTCCCTGGGCTGATCTAATGTCACTCTCGGCTTCTCCTTTACCTGTGCTCCTGGCTTGGCCAGTGCTTTGGTCTCAGTGGAGTCCTTTCAGGATGTCCCTGTCCTTTTGCCAGCGAGGCCAAAGGTCTGCAGATGCACACAGGCATTTTTCTCCCATCATCACATAAACCTGGGCGATGGTATTTTAAAAGCACGAACTCATCTGTGTGTGCTTTTCTTATGGACGGTAATTTCAGCACGTGTTCAGGCTGCTGAAGTGGCTTGTAGCACTGGAATTGTGCTCTCCCATATTTGTTAAAGGACAGGATTATTTTCCATTGATTTCAGGCTAGTCACAGAAAGAAAAGCAACATCTGCTGATTGAATGGGCTCCCAAGGAGAATTAACCATTCTCACACACAAAAGAATGGGAAAGAGTTGAACCAGCAAGATTCTCTTTAGCTAGAACATTTATTTTTAGAGCCTCGTATGGCCCCATCCATTCCTCCCTTCTTTCTGCCTGATTCCACTGGCATCAGCTTTTTTTAAACTCCCCATCATCCCCATTCCCACATCTTGACCCCCTCAACGACTGAGCCACTCAGGAAAAAATGGAATTTCTATCACATCATCCATCTACAGTGCACGTGAACTTGTTTCCCAGCAAAATGAGTGCATCAGAGATGATTTGAATCCAGGCCAAGGTTACCCACAACACACAAGCCAGCTGCACAAAGGTGGAGCGGGGAGCCCTGGTAATAAGATGGAAGCAATATAGAAAAGTGTCCTAACAAGAGTGTGGCAATTAGGACTGTGCTGTTTGTTTCCTTTCCCATGAAGAGACAAGCCATAAATCAGGGAGGCATCTGCCATGCAGGATCCAAGGGCTCTCAAAGCAGTATGAAAGAGACATCCATCACTGTTAGCAGAAGAAGGATTTGAGTTTAAATTACAGATGCTCAAACTATGCATTTGCAATTGTTTGGGAACAAAGTCCTCTTTAATTTCTCCCCTGGCTCTGGAAGGGGGTTGAGCTGGCTACAGCAGAATTCAGCTGATCCCTAATCAGGCCCTAATAGGAGCAGAAAAGGAAAATTAAGTGGGGACCACAGGGCTCTGGTGCATAGCTGCTCCCTCCCCCTGAGCACCTGCAGGCACTCTCTCACCCTCCTTGCCTTCTTTCCTTTGTGGGCATTTTTCCACTGTATGTTTCCAAAATAACCAGGTCCTTGAAACATAAATAAGGCAAGGGAGGGAAAATTTCAAGAGCTTTCTTCCTGCTGATCACTCCCACAGGCAGGTTGTTCATCCCATTGACCTCTCTGTGCTTCTACAAGCACCAAGTCCTCCTGAAGGGAAGCAGATCATGAATGCCCAAGGAATGAAGGCACCTTCCCACATGTCTGGTCCTCTGAAAGCTGAGGCACTTGCTCACAGCCCAGAACAAATCTGTCGTCCCATATTTTTGGACAGATGACCTTCTTTGGATGCCATCTCTGGCTGAAGCTGTGAAAATTGTTCCCACTGGATCCCAACTTCCAGCTCCTCCTGTGAGGCTTAGTCATACCCCTGCCCCCATCCCACAGTCTGCAGGTACATCCCTGTTTCCTCTTATCTGTCACCCCATTGGCATGCCCAGCACATTTCCACATCTCTTCTCACACTTCCTTCTGTCCATTTGTCCCAGCAGCAGCAAGCAGTTGAGACCCCAGGCACCCACCTGAGCTGCTTATCCCTCCTTTCACCAGTGTCCAGAGACAGTGAAATTGTGTAAATACCATAGTGAATGGAAGCTAGGACTATTAACTGTGCTGCCTTTCATTCTCCCCTGGCATTTACAGTCACTGGGATTTGGAGGCTGATATAGATTATTCTTTCATACAAATATATCTCCAGGCAAGAAAGTTGAGCTGCATGCACAGAAATGTTCACTGCCCAGATATGAGAGGCCCCTTAGGAGATTATATCAGAGCTACAGAGCTAGCATGTAAAATATGTGAGAGAGAGAGTGAAATATTGCCTTTGCAGGCCATCAACAGGCTATGGGAAGGGCTGTGAGAGAAAGGCAGAGCTGGGAGAGGCAGAGCTACTCACTCCAAATGTGAGTAGGGATTGGCACATGTCCACAAACGTGCACTTGGATGCGAAAGGAGGTGTTTGCTGTGGACTTTGCCCAAACAGGGCTGGGCACAGGGAGTGTTTCTGGGAATGCTGCACCCATCAGCAGGCACCAGCCTGTAGCACTCAGGCATGGCTGTGTTTTGTGCACCTGTAGGGTTTTCACGTCTTCTCCTTGCCCAGGGAAAGGTGTGCACACTCTCATGTTTATCACAGGTGAGCACCAACCACTCAGATTCAGAAGAAGTGATGGTGTCCCAGCCCTTATCTCACCACCCTCATAAGTCACCATATGTCAATCCCTGGATAAAAGCAGGCTTGTGTCAGAATTAATCATTCTGGGAGTTTACAAGGCAATTAAAGGAAGGGGCCATGTGTCTGATTTTACAGCAAATAAGCCCTGGCAAATTACAAACATATCAAAGGTAGTTCCAATTAGCTGCAGTGATCCACAGGGGAGAGCACCCAGGATGACACCTCCTCCTCTGCTCGGTGTCCTGCACTTGGGAACTGGGCAAAAACACGTCTGAAGATCATAAGCTGCATTCCCAAATGAAGAATGCCAAGTAGCGTGTTTATTTGTCAGCCACAAGTGGGGAATTGCTACAAGAAGCCTGACAGCTAGATGTGGCAATTAACATATAATTTGAATATGTCTATTTGCTTGCCACATAAATTAAGAAGATTGCTCCATGGTTTAGAAGCTGAGAAAAGACATATTCCTTCTTGCATCTGCTGCAGCACAAAAGCCATGGCTAACATTGTATCCTCTGGACTGGGATCATAAGGACAAGGTTAGTCTGGAGTCCCTGGTGCCCTGAGCACTTCCTGCAGAGATGGAAGGGCTAGCTGTATAATTGCTCTGCACAGAGACAAAAAACAACTTTCAGATCTTTCCTTCTATAGTGATTCCGCCTTCAGAACAGTGTCATGATGAACCAGGCCCAGGGCTTGGAGAGCCAGCACCTGGAGGTGTCACACACCTGGAGTGGCTGTGTGCTGACACAGCCCTCCCTGCCAGCCTCTGGGATTGCCCTCACTTCAGGTCCTTGCTCTCCTTTTCTAGGGCATCTGCCCTCAGCAATTCCCATTCCCACTGCTGTAGGCAGCCCTAGCCTCTCGTGGGCAGGGGAACCTGCCAGGTACCTGGAAACACTTGTTGGCTTCTTCCACGTGTTTTTTTTCTTTAACCCTCCATGACCTGGCAGCATGGGGCAGCTTGCTTCACTCATTGGGAGCACCTGGAGCAGTGGTGATTTAAGGGGATGCTGCTCTATTTGCAGTCAAGTGGTCTGTCCTGGCTAGGGCTGATGGCAGGTCGTTGGTGGGTAGAAGTGGTTAAGCTGTGCCCTGTGTGCAGCCCTCAGCAGCTTGCAGATGTTTTCCAGTTGTGGTTAGGCACAACCTAAATGTTTTGGTAGCTGGGGAAGAAGCTGAGCCCTGGGGCTGCAGGCTGTTGCTGTGGGGATGGGAAATATTGAATATTGAGAAGGTAAGTACTGATTTTTACAAAGAGCATCTGTTAATATGGTTATTTATAAACTCACTGACAACCAATACACCTCATCATGCTGAGAATGGTCAAAACTGATATTTATGCAGTGTGTTTTTCCTCATAATACCATATAGGGGTGTTTATTATTAATGGGCCAGTGAGATTAGAGCAAGAATATTGTATGGGATGGCTCCTGCGTGGCTGTGAGATGTTCAAGAGATGTAGGCATTGCTCCAGTCTGCTGTGAGAGTACTCCTGCTCATATTTGGAGCCATGTGGGAGGTTCCAAGGGATGGGTTCCCACTGCCAATACCTCCCTTCCATGGCAATGGGACTCTGGGTGCCCCAAACCTTCCAGGCTCTTGTGGCTGGCTTGTAGAGTTTGGTGGGGCTGGCAGGGAGTAATGTTAATTTTATTCAGCACCTGCTCTGCTCCAGAGAGCGTATTTGTTTCAGAAGCACCATGTGTTTGTCTATCTGAAACAAAAATGTTTCAAGACTTGGGGTTTGTGGAGAATTTTCATAAGTCAGGAATAATTTCGAATTGAAAGGAAATCATTGTGCAAAGAGTCAAAATGTCTATGAAGAGAAAATCTGAGTTTTAAGGTGGATTCATTAGGAGTCTGTCTGCACCCCAGTGGATACCAAAGATGCGCCTGTGTTTTTAAAAACAGCTCTGAAACTCTGCCCAGTCTCACCTCTAAAATAATTAAATGCATACATAAGTTTGTGCCTGATGAGGAGCTCTGCCAGCTCATCAGAATAAAATGTCAGCAAATGCCAGCAAGTTCCTGACCTTAATTTCAGCAGACTTGCCTTCCTCCCCTTGCTGAAGTGTTTTACTTCCTTCCCAGCCCTTGCCATTTCGATGTTGATCGTCAGGTTTTATTGGGTAGAAAAAGCATCTGCCTGGGGTGCTGACCCACATGCCTTGCTCGGCGCTTCTTCCACCTGGGGCTGTGCAGGTAACTGGAGGGACAAAGAGACTCCTGGGCCAAGCCCACCACGGGCTCATAGCCAGTGAGCTTTGGGATGCTCTCATGCTGCACAGTTGTGTGTCCTATTGCACTTTCCAATTGCTGGACCATGACCCTAAAAAATGTTGCTGCTATAGGATTTTGTGGAAGGATGTTAAAGCAACCGGGAGCACCTAACTATGAGCTGGATCCTACCTTTCCTGTCTGAATGCCTGCCTGAGGGCCAATTTGCTTTACAAATTATTGTGCAGAGCTGCAAAGTCTGCCATCTGCTCACTTCTTCTCACAGCCATGCCCTGTGATGTTTGCTTTTCCCACCTGCATCCAGCACAATAAAAAATATTTGCATCCCTGGCCAAAAGCTCTTTCATTATTGCTCTGGCAGAAGGAGCCTCCTGAGCCCAAGCAATGCACAGGGTATTTTCCCCAAAACCACTGTGCTGTGGAAGCAATGTGGGCAGTGGTGGCTGTGGGGTACATCAACTCCCTCTCTTTGAGAGCACAGGCAGCAAGAGGCAGGGTGTACCAGCCTCCTGGGGCTGGGGTGCTTTTCACTGTTACCTTTGCAGGTTGCTGTCCTCTCCTCCCACAGTGGTGTGGCACAAGAGTTGCAGGGAAAGTTTTAGGGAAGGTTGCAGCTTTGCCATGCTGGCACCATCAGTGTTTTAGGCAAAGATTACGCTTTAGGTTAGATAAAGGACTGCGGGTTGTTCTGTTATAGACTGTGAATATTACAGTAACAAATAGTACTTTCTTCTGGGAAGTGCAGTAATTTCACAGTGCTTTGTTTGTTTTTTTGTTTGGTTTTTTGTTTGTTTTGTTTTGGGGGTTTTGTTTGTTTTGGTTTGGGGTTTTTTTTTGTGTGTGTGTTTGTTTTTTTTTTTTGTAGCAGACTAGACAGTGGAAACTGACTCTTGTGGGCCAGGTTGTCTTAATAAAATATTTGCACAATATTAACTATTTTCTAGTCCTAAAGCCTACCAAAACTGTGGGATGCTTTGGAAACCACTGTGGGCTAACTTAGACTACTCTGACAAACTCTTTTGGACCTTTGCTTTTGGGGTTTGTGGCCCACTGCAGACCAATGCACAGATGTGTTCCCAAGTGAGGGACA